GTCTCTATCCTGACCTTAAGGGCGTACAATGTCTGCCAGTCAAAAGTTTGGATAGCGTTCAGATTGATCAATAATTGGTGAAATCACGTTTAACATGTTTGCATGCTGTTAATGATGAATGACTGTTGGTATCTGCAGCATATAATGCGGCAGTCAAATTTCAGCAATATCGCTATCTTAACACGAAGTGCATTTGTTGAACTCAGACGATCGTCTAACTATCTTGCCGACATATCAGCAGCGAATCTGATAACAGACACACTGGTACAGAATGCTCAGAGAACATGACACGAGAACATAGTATAAATCTGTTATGTCATCGGTACGACCTTCCATGTGTTTGTGTCAGGAACGCCTGGAAATTGTCGGCAAAATAAAACGCATTTGACTAATACACCTTGAAAATAGAGAGATATTCTGAAATGTGGTCCATGATATGGCAGATTCAACCAGATATTACATACCATGCAGAACAATTGAAACATGTTCATACTTGATGAAGAATCTAGTAGCTATCCACTTTAACTTCTGCATTGTAGCCCGAAAGAAGAAGAAAAAATTAGTGACTGGTATTTTATCCGTGTGGACTTTGAACACCACATATAGTTGAAAGATAAGATCAACACTTTACAGTGATCCAGTTTAAAATGAGATGTAAAGGTGTATAAAAGATTCGCAATAGCGTGGTTCCAGACTGCAGTTGTCTGGAACTATCATGTGGCCAAGAATATGATCTTTTGTACATGGCGAATAACAGTGCATCATGACAAGCATCAGCGTAGCAATAAAATATGGAAACTTTTACACAGTCGAACTGGAAGTGAAGAACGGATGGGTCGAGAAATGATGTCATATTAACGGGTGTCCAACTCTATTCATGTAAATGTTTTTATTCTAACGGTCAAAGCGCTGATCTTTGTTGTTATTAACATGATGTACAGAGTTAATGTTGGGTCTCGTAGTAAGAGAAGAACACGGATGTTTTTTGGTGAAGGTTTTCTGTTTGTGAATATATTGATAACACAGTGGTGCTGTGGCTCTCTCTGTCATCTCATCATTGACATAATTACATTGCATTTAGCTGAACGCTTTTATATACAAAGCCGACTACAATAAAGTGCGTTCGACCCGACAAAATACCAAACTTGCAGAAAACAAGAATCCATAAGTACATCAGGTTTCCATAGAGCTAAAACATTTCAAGTGCTATCAACTGGCTTTAGATAAGCCAGTCCTTTGTAGTATATAGTGCTCTGTTAGCAGTTCTTTGTTAGTAATTCTATAGATCGAAGTGGATCGAAAGAAGATGAGTTTCAGTACTGCGCCGGAAGATGTGTAGCTATCTGCCTGTCCCTGATGTCAATGGGGAGCTCATTCACCATTTGGAGACCAGATAGCAAAAACCACATGTTTTTGCTGATGGGAACTTGGTTCCCCCTCGCAGGCGGTGCAGCGCTTTTGCTGATCAGAGCGGAGTGCACGTGTTGGTGTACGTTTAACCATGTCCTGGATGTAGGAGGGCCAGATCCATTCACAGCATGTACGGCACAGAACCAGTGTTCTGAAGTTGGATTCTAGCAGTTAACTGGAAGCAGTGAAGGAGCGGAGGAGCGGCGTGTGTGGGAGAATTTTAGGAAGTTGAAGACCCAGACGAGCCGCTGCATTCTGGATGAGCTGCAGAGGTCGGATGGCACATGCAGGTAGACCAGCCAGGAGGGAGTTGCAGTAGTCTAGGCGTGAGATGACGAGAGCCTGGACCAGAACCTGCGTTGCTTTCTGGGTCAGCTGGGGACGTATCCTCCTGATGTTGTAAAGGGTGTATCTGCAGCAGCGGGTTGTAGCAGCGATGTTTGCAGTGAAGGACAGTTTGTTATCACACCCAGATTCCTTGCAGTCTGAGTCGGGGAAACGATAGAGGTGCCGATGTTGATTGTTAGGTCAAGAGTGGGACAATCTTTTCCCGGAAGGAAAAGCAGTTCAGTCTTGTCAAGGTTGAGCTTGAGGTGGTGAGCAGACATCCATCGAGAGATGTCTGCTAGGCAAGCAGAGATGCGTGCGACGACCTGGGTCTCTGAGCGGGGAAAGGACAGAATTAATTGGGTGTCGTCAGCGTAGCAGTGGTATGAAAAACCATGCGGGCTAATGACAGACCCGAGCGAGTTTGTGTACAGGGAGAAGAGGAGGGGACCGAGAACAGAGCCCTGAGGGACCCCTGTAGTTAATTGACATGTTACTTGTTAGACGCTTTTATCCGAAGCGACTTACATACTCAGTACTGTGGGCAATCCCAACAGGAGCAATTTGGGGTGAAGTGTCTCAGGGACACAACGACATGCTGACTGCAGTGGGGTTTGAACCTGTGCTCCCCTGATCCGAACACCAACGCACTAGTCCACTGCGCCACACGCCTCCCCTGCGCCTCAAACCTCATCGGTCTGCTGAAGGTGTTTTATCAATGTTACTTTTTTTTTAAGTGACCAAAGTTTTTTTGTCTCGTGTTTTTTCCTGTTTCTCTACATGTAACTTATGGAATAAAGATTGTGCCAAACATTCCACTTTTGTACCATTTTGAGTGTTTACATTAGATGCTGTGCACAAACACCTCTGTATTTATATAAATGTGTTTGTCTGTAACTGTATGTACAAAGTGTCTGATTACAATGTAATTAATATATCCAAACTTGTCACCGTGTCATTAAAGCTGTTTATGGTATCATTGTTTCACGTGAGATTAATGATGTTGTAGAAAACATATTTGAGTCAAAACTTTACATTAAAACCAAATTAAAATATTCTGCACGGTTTAGCTTTGTTACCCACAAGTACACTTTAATACCACACATTTTCTAACATGGCATGTTTACACCTGCGGGAGTGTAAAAGGGTATTTTACATGAAAAATACATTTGAATATTATATCTTTTTTGGATTGCAGTAGCAGGGTTATATTTTTCAATCTGGCTAATTATAACAAGAAGTATGAATGATTATGTCAAACTGAACATGAGGATAATTCACAATATATATTTACATACAGTAAATATTCTGTCCAATCCAAATCCTTTAACACATTGCTGCAACAAACAACTTCAATAACAATATTAACAATATTATTTCAAACAATTATTATTCAATTCGTGTTTATGTAGTAAGCGTGAAAACATGAAAGTTACCTATGATTTAGAAAAATCTATGAATTAAATTAATGAAAAGTGCCATACATTCTAATACCTGCTTCAAATAAAAATTATTAACATTATCACATAAACATTATTTTGTTAAATTCACGGTTGTTTGTCTTTTGATGATTACTGAAATTATATATTAGGTTATCCTTACTTTTATCATTTAAAATGCTATAATAATAACAAAATAAATAAATAAACCAAAGCATCTTCTCCTCCATGCAGTGAAGATGTTACGACAGAACAAAGGCCTCAGATTCTCAGCTCCTTGTTTTGACTAATGTCAGTAATTGTCTTTGCTGATAACGAGTTGTCTTTAAGTTTGCTGTTCTCTCAGGGCTTCCTTTGATTCGCTGTCAGCCTATTAGATGACATTTCCTTCTGACTGCCTCTCCACGCTGCGTTCACTGACTGAAAGTTAGCATGGTGCGAGACAACTTCAACAGCTTCACTTATGTGTTGCTTTGATGTGCCGTAGACTCACGGTGAGGCGAGTCAACATCTCCTCAGCGCAGCTCTTCTGACAGCACTTAGTCAACAGCGCTCACAAAGGGCTGGTCTCTGTTCATCTCCTCCTCAGTGAGGATGATGATGCTGTCGCCAGCTGTCCTGTCTTCATCAACTCCTCCTCTGTGTTTTTTATGTCACCAACTTTAATTTAATTAGATATTAATGGTTGGATTTTCTTTACGAATGGCTCAGAATTAATGATTGATTGATTCTGTGCTCTCACACAAATAATAGGGGTGTGGATACATGAGAATATATTTATATTTACCGCATCTTAATGGCATCAGTTATAACATAGTTATTTAGTTATATAATTAGAGTATGGAAACTCCAAATATTGAGGAAGGACATAAAATAGCCTTAAATTATGTTTTTTTTTATGCCAAACAATTATATTTAAAGGTCCCATGTCATGGCCATTTCTACTGATCATAATTCCATTGTTGAGGTCTACTAAAATAAATGTATATTGTGCAATTTTCCAAACTCACATTGGTTTCTCATGCAGCATCTCTGTATAGTATGTGTATTCACTCTCTGTCCTAAACGGCTTGTTGGAGCTCCTGCCCCCCTCTCCCTGTGAGCCCAGTGGCCGTCTGCGAGACAGCGAGACACAGCGAAACTCAGCCCGAAACACACACACACCCGCAGCCTGGCTGGGAGTTTGTGTGTGTGCTCAGGCTGAGTTCCGCGGTGCACTCGTAACCGAGGTGACCACACCCCCAGCCGCTCTTTCCGCTCTGTGGCGCCTTGANGAGCCAACTCAGTGTCCCGCTCCTCGCAGCAGCGAGCCTCGCAACGTCCCGCCGAGTGTGTCTGTGTGTGTGTGAGGAAGTCCGGATTGGCCCAAACGTAACGGCTCTGCGGACGTTACATCACTATACCCGAAATACGTCACTATACCCAATAAGTAAAGGAAGTAAAAAGAGAAATCTCCAACGAGGTGTTCTGGGGCAGCATAGACAGGTATTTTCTGTGTTAGAGTTTTACTCGCTACAGGGTGTACTTTGATGGTTTGTGACTCTGCAGACCGTTTACATGCAGAAAAAGCTTCATAACACACAAGGGGTAATAACCGGAAAAGCATGTCGTGGGACCTTTTAAACTTAACTTTAAAACCGACTGTTATCCTTTAAACGCGTCAAAGCATAGTCTTAGCCTTTCTAGCAACTTCATTTATTGGAAAATGAGCCGCAACAATCTTCATTGACGTTTCACGTTCATACAATCTGCAAAACTTGTCACTGGACCGATTACCTCAGTAGATATTTAACTAGACCTTATAATATAATGACCGTTTCAGATCTGCTGCTGGACTGCCTGGAGCTCTGCAAGTGCACACACATCGCGATGGATGTCTATCATCAGTGTCAGTTATCAGACGACTATGGCTTTATAGCCAAGGTCAGTATCTCATGTTTCTCCAAACAATGACGCTGTTTTTATGTTATTTTGGTTTGTGCTTAATATATACATTTTAATTTTTTACTGCTAACATTTGAATCAGCTTATAATACAAATGAGGAGATCTACCAGGTGCTTTCTCTTGGATAGAGGATTATCTATTATCTAACATGTTGAGGCAGAATTTTGTACAACTACAGTGAAACAGTAGTTTCCTTTTTAATATGAATAGTTATAAATGTTCCCAGACATGAGCAGGAAAAGCACCTAGAAGTTGAAATCGATTAATGCCTTACTTTAAAAAAAAATTGAAATGATCTAAATGTATGAATTGTCTGTCCCAGGATCCGACCTTGGAGACAGAAAAAGACCCACACTCTCAGTGGAGTTTTCAGGATGTTTTTAATGAAGATTGCATTGTTCTGGACCCGGTGTCTGTGCTTCCAGTCCAATATGAAATAACCAACTGCTTGCTGCCTATTTCTCTGGGTAACATGCTCAAAATAATCTTCTACTTAATGTCTCTTTAGTATTTCATGCTCACCATAAGTTACAGCGCACTGGTCCTAATCATCTGTTACTATCCTGCAGATACCAAGCTGTACCCACTGGACTGCTCCTGTCTGTCACACTGCTCTTTTGAAAAGGGTACTGTATAAAAAGCTTATATTTTAGAAGTACTTAAAGTATTTTACAATAAATCTGGGGAGGCTGCTTTTTGTTTTTATGGCCCGAACTGTGGATCTTAGAAAAGCAAACTCCCTTTTGAATTGTTAAAAGTAAATTTAAAGACTCTTTACTTGTTTTTAATTATGTTCCTCACTCTTTATTCTCCCTCGTTATCTTCTCTTGCTCTGTAAAGCATGTCGGGCTGCATATTGCATGAAGGGTGCTTTAGAAATAAAGTTTATTTTATTGTTTTCTTCTTGAATTTGTTATTTTGGATATTTACCTCGTGTGTTGTGTGGCCCACCTGCAGGCTCGAACTACCTGAAGCCCCTCCTCGGGCCCCTGGCCAACATCCTGCAGAGTTTACAGGAGTGCAGTCAGCTGGAGCTGGCCCTCAGAGTGCTGGTCAACTCGTACGGCAGCTGCCTGCAGCACGTCACCTCTAATGTTATGGACATAAAGATCAGTTTGCAGGTATGGCGGCAACAGATACATTATATTTTGATGTGTATTCCTATAGGGACAGGTATCTATCATAAAATAAATGCCACACACCACAGCATTTATAGTGCAATCTAATGTGCAATGTGGGGTTAGCACAACAAATGCATAAGAAACAGTACACAACTCAACAAAAGGTACATACATTATAACACAAAGAACTCAACAAGAAAATACAGATAAATACAGGACACAAACTAATACATAACACAATGCACTGTATCATTAATGACTATTTTACTGGTCCTACTTTAAAGGTCACCTATTGTGCAAAATCCACTTTTTCCTGTCTTGTATACATCAACATGTGTCCCCTCTGTGTAAAGAGACTCTGAAAGTTTCAGGAAAAAAGATTCTCTCTCTTTTTGTCCTGATCCATTTCTATAAAAACCTGTCTGGAAATGAGCTGATCAGATTTTGGCCACTTTGTGATGTCATAACGATGTTTTGGCTTGTGTAACCATTAGCCAATCAGCAACCAAGGTAACCCCCNGGTCTTTTCTGTGTTAGAGTTTTACTCGCTACAGGGTGTACTTTGAGGGTTTGTGACTCTGCAGACCGTTTACATGCAGAAAAACCTTCATAACACACAAGGGGACGGGTAATAACCAGAAAAGCATGACATGGGACCTTTAATACAACTCAAAGCATTACTTGTCCTATAGGGGTAAATCCCCCCCTATAGAAATTAATAGTCCTTATTCTGAAAATATGTACACACATGGACAAGGACAGTTCACACCCCGGCTTTCACCTGTTCAACCTGCTTCCCTCCGGCAGGCGCTACAGGTGTATACAATCCAAAACAAACAGACTCAATGACAGTTTTTTTCCCAAGAGCCATCATTGCTCTTAACACATGAAATCATACCTCTTAATCATCATAAATGTGACTCTGTACATATTATTATTATTATAAATACATATTATTATTATTATTGATTACATTACAGATGTTATTGTTATACTCCTGGAAATAACTACTGCACTTTATTCCTTATTCCTTATTTGTTGTCTTATGTTGTGATGTTTTTTTGTTTTGATGGCACCCTTGAAAGGGAGAAGCATTTATTATCTCATTGTACATGTATAATGACATTAAATGAGTATATTCTATTCTACATACAGTATGTCATTTGAAAGTAAAGAGAATCACATGATTTAATAAAAAAAATTTGTATTGTTTTGTAGATGATATGTTTAATCCAGAAATGTCTTTACATTTTCTTATACCATGTGGGTTGGACCAAATGTTTGAATAAAGGTAAAATTAATAAAAAACCATTACTTTTAGCATGAATTATAATTTCACAGAGCAAATTAGTAATTGTCTTTGTTTCCATAGGTTTGTATGTGTGTGTGTGAAGGGTGAGTGAGCCTGCATACATACAGTTTTCAGCTGACACACTTATGGAGTATGTGTCTCCATTGTGTTAGGTGACTAAAAGCAGAACAGAGAAGGCAACCTGGAGTCACACCAGCAGACCTCAGAGCGGATCTCAGGGATCGGCTGAGAAAGGGAGTGTAACTAAGTTCCTGAACAACAATACACACACAAACATACACACACAGATTGAGAGCAGCTCACAGTCTCCTGAGCGGTGACTCAGCCGGCATGTTGGGTGTTGTTGGAGGTTTCCTGACCTCCCGGACGGTGCTGACAGAAGCAGGACGATGCACAGGGAGAGCGGTTATAAACAGGGAAACAGAGATTAGAGCAGGATGAGTATCAGACATGTTATCTGGAGACCAAGTACCTGAGGACGGGACGGAGGAGCAGAGCAACCCAACTAAAGGCAAGTTTCTGACAAGCTATAAAACAAGCCTATTTTCTTTAAACGTGCACACTCTTGCTCCACTAGTTATTTGTTTTGCTTAACCTTAAGAAAAAATAGATGTTATTTATACTGTTGTAGAGCCACTCTTTATCTGTAAAGTTTACCATTTTCATCCCAAAGATATTTAAGCTTTTCAGTGTCGCTGAAAAAACATCCCACTAGGCAGGGTGTTAAAAACCAAGAAACACAATACAAAAATTAAAGAACCATCTTAGTTAATTATTTAAAGTTGAGAAGGCAGGGTTACTCAGAACATATTATATAAAGTAGTGATTTTAATAAATGACTACCGTCTCAATGTGGGACAATAAAAGCTAATTGTTCTGAAATGCAGCCTTTTTATGTTGGTGTGGTCATTGGAGTACCTTTTGAGAACTTAGCAGGTAACATGACCTTCTTCTGATGATTCTCAAGGGAGTGCGTCTTTAAAATCAGTGGAGGAAACCCTTCCAGCACGGAACCCTGTGAGCAGAGGAAACACCACCTCCCCTGACCTCATCAGCAGTAAGTGGAAACTGTGAGACCGTAGAGCAAACAATACAGCGAGGAAAAATTGAGACTCCTGGAGTAAGTGATGGGTGCAAAACAAGGATGTTCATAAAAAAAACTGATACAAACGTACCAGTCTGTTTCTACTACTTAAGACCAGATTGATCACAGATTAAATTGGCTTTGTGATGATGTTGACAGACCAGACCACCTCCCCTCTCTGTGCAGCCCAGCCTCAGCCCGCTGCAGCCCGAGGAGCCGAGGCCTCACAGGAGGGGGCGGGGCTTAAGAGGCCTCAGTGTGACCTCCAGAAGCCCACCTGCCCACGATGTGGCCTCACAGCACCGGACCACCGGCGACCCCCCTCCTCCCGGCTGCAGGGCCTGTCGGTGCACAGCGGGGGCAGCAGGAGGAGCGGGGGGGCAGGATCACATTCCCCCACTGCTACTCCTACTGGTGAGTGCAATCATGTGCCTTATTTACTTACCGTTTTTAATCGGACTGGATGATCTAAAATTGATAATAGATAAATTGTCACATTTATCTTGATAGCATTATTAACTAAATACTTTGTGCTACCTCAGTGCACACGATTTATGTTTTTTATGTTTGCAACTTGTATCAATATTCCAATTACTTGTATATAGACTATTCTGCACTTTTTCTATTCTATTTTATTTACTTGCATCATCTGTTGTATTGTGTTGCACTGTTGGAGGAGCCTGTGACCTAAGATTGTCATAACTACACTGTAGCTAATGTACACATGGCAATAAAAGCCTTGATTCTTATCTTTCTTTTTTATATTTTATACAATTCTGTAATTGTATAAAATATAAAAAAGAAAGATAAGAATCAAGGCTTTTATTGCCATGTGTACATTAGCTACAGTGTAGTTATGACAATCTTAGGTCACAGGCTCNAAACTGCGTAAAGTCTCCATGTTTGTTTTTAGAAAATTGGGGTAGAATAATAATATTATAATTAATAATTTGATGATTGGCAGTATATCTTTTTTTACAACTCCATGATATTACCTCTAAAAATCGCAAGGGACAGAATGTATTGGGCCCTTGCCAAAAAAGTCCCATTTATATTTTTATTTCTCAACAGAAGCTGTAAACAAGGAAAACCCCAGCCGTAGTATTCAGTGGTATGCTTCCCTCCTTTCTGCCTGCGCACTTTGGCCTGACGTGGACAGCCATGATCAACAGCTACATCACACCTTGCTGCTGCGCTTCCAACGGACGAGGAAGGCTGCCGGGGAGCCAGGGGCCCAATCAGGGAAGAGACGCAGGGCCTCGCTGTGTCATTGGCCCGATGAGCTGGAGGCCGGGAGCTCCTGGCCAGAGTCATCCCGATGGCTTGCAGCAACACCAAGCCAGCCTCACCGACAGCCTCGTGCCTTGTATTATTCCAAGGGTTTGTGCAAGAGGGGGACAAACTAGAAGAAGGCTCCATTTTGGAGTGTTTTTTTATCAGGAGTTCACATTACTGATAACTTCTTGGGACTAGGGGCCCTGCACGGATTTGGGCAAAAAATCTGAATTTGCGATTTTTCTGACAGATATTGCGATTCGAATTTGCCAGATATTGTTTTTAAGCGACCCAACGGTAAGTTTATTGTAAAAAGCGGCCATAACTCGGCTAGGAAGTCTCGTATCAACATGCTCCCGCTCTCTTAGCACCCCCGCAGCCCGAGCTACAGTGAAGGGAACAAAATGTACATGAAACTTCGGTGCGGCGTCGCATGTAAAAACAAATATCGCGCAATTCGAATCGCCAACTATTCTGTCAGAAAAATCGCCAATTTAGATTTTTTCTTCCCCAGAAATCGGCTGCAGCTCCCTAGTCGAAGCTTATCAGGTAATGCTAACTCCTGATAAAAAACACTCAAAATGCGATCCTGTCTTTCTAGGTTGTCTCCCCCTTTGCACAAACCTTGAATAATCACAGCACAGAGGCCTGCCTCGGTGAGCTGGCTGCCGTGTTTGCAACATCGGATTGATCTGCAGGACCTTGCCCTCCAGTCATCGCATGACACAGAGGGCTGGCCCCGTCTGCCTCCTGATTGCCCCCTGGCCTCCCCGGGCCACCTTCCTTCGCCGGCTTGGAGCAGCAGCAAGCGTGTGTGATGGACTGGGTTGATCATGCTGTCACGGGTCCAGGCCCAAAAAGTGCTGCCAGGCAGGCAAGGGAGGAGCCTATATTCTGAATTACTACGGTGCGCTTTTTCCGTTTACAGTTCTGTTGAGAAATTAAGAAGTACTATGGACTTTTTGGCGAGCAATACATCTGTCCCTTGTTTTCGATGGTAAGTTATGTGGGAGGTGTAAAAAGAGATCACCCAATCTAATGATTTATGTATAATATTTTATTGCTACTCCAAATTATTCTAAAACAAACATGGGGGACTTTACGCAGTGTTTTTTGTTATCCCCTGGATGTTGAGAAGAAAGTCTCATTTGGTTCCCTTACTCAAAAATAGGATCGGTCCTTCAAATCAAGCTGCTTTCACAATACAGTAACATGAAACCAAAGAACACAACTATAAAGCTCAACAAACGAATTTCTATTCAGCAGAATCCGTATTTAATGGCCCCTTTTGTCCAAAAGAAAAGTGCGAAAATGTTTCCCAAAAACGTAGTTATAGTCTAATATGTGAAAGTGCATTAACGCTGTATAGTATGTCGCAAATCATTTTAGACTGCTGAGAAGCTAATAAGCAAATCATTGCAATCTGGAGTGGTATATACAAAATGCATACGCCCAATAATAGCTCTTATTCCACTCATGGCAAGTTATTATTTAAAACAAATCAAGTACACAGTGTGTTTTTGTAGCCCATGGAAGAAGAGTCTATCTTACCCCTTACTCAAGTCAACCAACACAATCTACCCATCAGCTCGTCATTTCAATGAACAACATACGGGGCGGGTGGTGGCAAATTTCATAGGAGTTGGCCTTGGCAACTGGAAGGGTCAGCCAGTTCAAGTCCCGGAAAGGACCAACGTGCTACCGAGTGTCCCTGAGCAACCGGCACCGTCCCTACACTCTCCCCGGGCGCCGTACATCACATGGCAGCCAGCTGGGCTCCTAACGCCCCTCAACCCCTCAACCTCGCAGGAGACCGCTTCGCCCGCGCATGTGGCGTCAGTCAGTAAAGGGCTTGAGCTTGGGAGATCTGTAGGGATCGCCGGTTCAGAGTCCGCGACCAGAACGTGAAGAATATGGAGTTGTGGATACTGACTTGGAGAGGGTCCCCAGTTCACCTCCGCGTGCCGTGCCGTGTGCCCTGACAAGGCAACCAGACACCCCCCTTCCCCCCTCACCTCCCATTGCTCCCCGGGCGCTGTACAATAGCTGCCCACTGCCTCTTAGTACTTAGACTTCTCCTGTACTGGGGAGTGGGTTAAAAGCAGAGAGACCAACTTGTCACTGGTGTGTGCTGTTTGCTCTGCATGTGAAGACCATTAGAGGGTTTCATCCCTCCAATTCTATTGGCTCCGAACAGGAGAGAGTCTTTAGCTGTGAGTGTGAAAAATTGATCGACGGCAGAAAGGGTATGGTCCAAATGGTTATTGAACGAGTATGGTCTCGAAATATAAACCTGTTAATGCTCAATAATCAAAATATTTAGATCAAAGAAAGCGTTGCTTTCAAGCGAGGATGTAGAAGTGGATTGAAGCCTCCAAGAATGATAGCCGGCTCAGGGACCTTAGCTTTTCTGAAAATATGGCCCGCTGATATTGAGCTATTATTATAGTACAGCAGCTGACCTGCGCAGTACTGCAAGAGTGGATCTCTGGGGGTGATCCTCTGGTTTTCACCAGATCAGAGGATCAGACTCCCCTTATCTGCACGGACGCTGACGGAACACAGCTGCATAGATATCTTCAGCAGAGCAGAGGCAGAGTCGCATCGTTAAAATGTCAAGTCAACAAAGCCAGCAACTAGTAGTATAAGATGAAAATAAACATGAGTGCTTTTCATCCTCACACCTCCAATTGGCAAGCTTTGCGCATGCCCCATTCAGCGATCCAGTGAGAGGAGAGAACTTCTCTCGTCCTCTGGCCTCCGTACAAGCAGGCAAGATGGCCCCGGATCCTGGCCCAGCCTGAATTAACGTAGACAGTCGCCGGTTAGATTTGGCTCAAGAACATCGCCATCTATCTTTACTGAACGATTAAATTTTTTTTTCTCTTAATTAGAAAACACTTTAGAAAAGAGGAGGTCAGTTTGTGAACTCCTAAAATACAGTGGAGGATTTCAGTTTAGCTTTCGTGCAAGATGCTTACGCCTCCCGAGACTTATCGATCCAGTTTTTGATTAAAATGTTGTCAGTGTCATGTACATTTTTTTGCAATGCAATGGAGTAGAGTGTGAAAAGGCACTGTACTCGTATACTATACTATGAATATATATGTACTACGTAATATAGAGCAGAGAGAGATCTATGGGTGTGAGTGTAGATACCAATTCGATGCATTTCTCACTTTCACTTTAGGGCCGCTTCACACCACACGTACTTTGCCGTACTTATGTTTCCCAGCACTTAGATACCCAATGGAACTAAGACAGATGCGCGTTCACCACCGGACATAAGTGCCCTGAGGGAAGATTACGGCAATGAAGCCGCCTGACGATCCCTTCTTCCTTCTTCTGCTTTGGGTTTACTCGCAGGCCGCCAACACCCTTCACGGCGTAATACTGCCACCCGAGAGTCCACCGGACGGACAGTACCCCGGAGGTTGGGGACTACCGAGTAAATCGCCAGAACGCCCGAACCCTCCCCATCCTCCACCGCTCCCATGTTTCTTTTGTGTTGCCATAAGTTATTCCTCTGAGTTGGTGCGCTGGGTAATGCTAATAATGCTAATGCCGGCAAATACAATGGCGGCTTCAAAAAACCTTTTCGAGTTTTACAGGGCGTGGTTTGCAATTTGCCCAGCCAATCGAAATTGGAACTTTTTTCTCCCCAGGAAAGTACCACCTCTCTGGCAGGCACTAACAAGGGGGTAAAAGTTCTCATGAACTAAGTTCTCTTTTTGGTGTGAACGCAAAATTCCAGGAACTATCGGAACTAAACGGGAAAAGTACGGGGAAAAGTACTCCGGTGTGAAAGCGCCTTTTAACTTTCATAATATATAAAGGTTTGACGATCAAGGGATCATTGCCTACCAGAATTTTGTCATAGTTCTGCCAGGTGTTGTCAATAAACTTCCAGAGTATTTTTAAGACTTCTGCTTTGGGGAGGAGCGTACAGAGTCCGATAGCCAAATCACAATCGACCACCCTCCAGTTGAACACCTGCAGTCCAAAGAAAATAGAGATAGTTATTTAAAAGTATACGGAAAGACAGTCAATCTGCTACAACCTGTTATGTCATCAGACCCACCTTGTGCAAGAGAGCCACAGCAACGGCATCCAGAGTTGAAATAGTTGTCTTTCGAAGATTATTCAAGCATAAATTGTAATTCTTAAGCTCCTGGGTATCGAACAGCTGAAATAAGAGTTAAAATAAAGATCAAACATTGTTTAAGATACAATGATGGTACAAATGGTCCTAGAAACACATGGAAGTGAAACTGATAGCACCAGTGGGTATTAGAATTAAATATTATACATTTTGAAGATTTATTAAACCTCTAGAAATGCCAACATAACCAGGCTCATGGATGCTTGTGGTTGCACTCAAAGCTCCAGTAACACGTGGAGAATAACAGTTAAATTGTCAGGTGCCCTTGCGTCTATTTTCATTCCTGCAAGGGCCACGTGTGAAATCTCCTGCATACAAATATCTGGATCCTGACATTTTAAAAAAGGTCCCCTATTAGACTGTTTTTCATCAATATATTATAGGTCTCAGATATATACAAAACATGTCTCTGAAGTGTTTGGCTCCAAAGACCAAACAGATTATTGCAGCATCCCATAATCCCCTCTGTTTCAGCCCTGTTTCCAAAGTGCTGATTCTCTGTCTGTTACTTGAAAATGAAAATAAGGAGCCACTCCCCACGCCCCTCTGAGAGAGATTTGGTTACAAAGAACACAATGGTGCTCTAGGAGGAGGGGGATCACCGCCGGTGATCAAGCGTTGGGGGGGGGGGGTTACCTTGGTTGCTGATTGGCTAATGGTGTACACAGGCCACAAACATCGTTTATGAAATCACAAAGCTGGCCAAAATCTTGATCTGCTCATTTCCAGACACGGCGATATTATCACTAGATAGAAATGGATCTCAGGAACAACATACAAGAGAGACGAGCGCAACTCTTCTTTATCCTGAAACTACTCAGACAAGTCTCATTCTCTATCCACAAGAAAGGGACACAAAGTTGAAATGGTCTCATGACAATCGAAACAGGGAAAAAGTCGGATTTCCCGCACACCACACTAGCAAGTGACCTCCTTAAGTCAGCGCCACGTCAAAAGACTACGTCACATATTAATGATCACCAGTGTTGTGTAGTATTTAGAATTTACGTGCTACCTGATCCATTTATCTGATATTTCTTGTTGGTTCTTTGATGATAATACCCAATGTATGTACCATTTTCTTTGAGACGTTGATCCCATGTACTTCTCTCTGTGTGATGCTACTATATGTTGTACCGCAATATACCCCACAATAGCAAATTCTAGATTTATGCAACACTAATAAAAATGCCCTGAATGTGTGCTGCATTTTTTAACACAACCAAAAACCAAAAAAAATCACGTCCCTAAAAAAAGCCGCCCCAAAACTACAATGATAGATACTCTGTCCCTATAGGAATACACATACGAAATATATGATAAGAACCACATCTGTTCGAGACTGCCATACCTCGAATCTGATCTTTAGAATCCACACATTAACAATTCAGAACAGGTGCACGTCCCTGCAGGCAGCTGCCCGTACCGTCGTTGACCGCACTCGCTGCGCAGGCCAGCTCCAGCTGATCTGCAACTTCCTGTCCAAACTCTGACGAGATTGTTGCGCCACGACGGGCACCAAGCGCGAGGGGACCTACGTCCCGGCATAGATCTCGAGCCTTGCCAACGGTGCGCAGCACGACCATACCACACAAGAGGGTGTAAATATCCAACAAGTAACAAATGCAGAAGAAACAATAAAATAAACTCTTATCTCTCTAAAGCACCCTTCATGCAATATTGCAGCCCCGAGCATGCTGTTACAGAGCGAAGAGAAGACTAACCAGGGAGACATAAAGAGTGTGTGT